GTATAAACAGGCAAGATCGGCTTTGTTCAGAAAGCCATCTGATAAAAATGGACAAATTTACGGGCACTGCTTTCATGGCTTTGCTTACCTCTAAGTTGTTACGGAAATCATGTCCCAGAGTGGCACTAGAAGACTATGTCCTAGTGAGGGGCAGTTCTCTGAGTCAGTCATAGCCTCATCTGGAGTTAGAGGTGTGGGTTTCAATCAGTATTTTGGTATATCCTGAAGAGCCTTCAAGTTAGTTCAGAGATTGCAGGTAAAATGAGACTGCGAGGTAGGAAGTGTCATGTGGATGAGAGGTTCTCGTGCTGGCAGACAGCTTCCTCAGTGAAACAGAAACGTTTCTTCTCTGGCTTGCAGCAGGTGACTCTCTAAGAAACTAGTTCTTGAAGTTCATGTATTTAGAACAGTAGAATCAAGTTTTTTGTCTTAGACTTTTTACTTGCCTTCCTTTTTAATGGTAGGTTGCAAGGTAGGGTCACAAGTGTATAAAAAAGCCTCACTGAAAGCACTGGTGGCAAGTCAGACCATAATTGTCACAAACATCTTCTCCTTTACCAGGCAGTTTTAACACTTGGGAAGGACGTGTTTCATCTGTCCCGGAAAACTGCACTGAAGCATCTGTTGATTTCATTAAAACACAAAGATTCATAGGTTATGAGGCCAGAAAGAGCCATTATGATAATCTAGGCTGATTTGCTATATAATTAATTCCTGTCTTACTATGTCTTTTAGAGAAAACAAGATACTATTTTAATTTCAAGTTTGCCAGTAGCAGAGAACATGCCATAACCTGTAGTAAATTATTTCAATAGCAAATTACCCTTATGTAAAAATAAGTCTTAATATTTTAAAATGTGAATGTCTCTAACTTCAATTTCTAGCCCCTGGATCCCATTATTCCTTTGTCACATGGATTGAAGAGCCCTCTATTGCAAAATTCCGTTTTCTGCACAGGTACTCGTAGATTGTAATCAAATCACCCTTTAACCTCTACCTATTAAACAGACTTTGAATGTTCTTCACTATGGGACATACACTCGAGTCATTTAGTAATATTCCCTTTTCTCATTCTCAAGCCTTTGGTTTAACAATTGAACTGCGGATATCGGAAACTGCCTAAGCTCATGCTCAAGCCAGAGATGCTTCTGTCTCTCTATTCCTGCTCAGGATTCACCTTGGGTTTTACACCCAAGGATTATTTTTATGCTTTTGTTTATAGTGCTGAGAATTCTTGTGTACCTGCTTATACATAAATATATATATTAGTGGTGGGATGGCAGTGTTATGTTAATGGTTGGACTTGATCTTAAAGGTCTTTTCCAACCTAAATGGTTCTATGATTCTATATCAAGATCTTGATGTCCAAATGAGGCTGTCAACGATACCTCAAGTCAGCTATGTGAACACTTGTACTTTTTGCTTAAACACAGGTCCTTTTTAAATTTCTCAAGCTAGGTTGTGTGGTTGGTTTTTTGTTTGTTTTTTTTTAATTAAAATATTGTAAAATACAACAAACACTTGAATAATAGAGATTCAGATTAGCGTGGATCTGTTTCTTTGAAAAGATTGAATTCAGAACTCTTGCATCTGTTCAACACCCTTTCTCCTCTCTTCCCCAAGTCTTCCTTCATGCTTACTTTCTTGGTCCTTTCTTTCAAACTTGCTCTCAGATTGTTAGTGACTTTCTAGGTTGCAGCTGGCTCCATATAATTTTCTCTAGATCCTTTGAAAGTCTTCTGTCTCAAGGATTCTCCAGCTGTTGTACTGGTATGACTTATAAAATGCAAGACAGTCTGCAGCAAACCCCAAATAAACCAAGAGGCAGACCCTCTCTGTTTCCCTAGAAGAGATGGGAATTGTTACTCAAGCATCAAATATGTGAAAGGGGGAGATGTAACCTGTGTGTGGCTCAGCTGAGAGTCGGAAGCTGCTTACGTGTATGTGATCATATTCCTTCTGCCAGCAACCTGCAGAGGCTGCTGAAAGCAGATCGCTGAGTGGTAGCTAGGTACAGCCCAGCACCAGCCATCCGTCACATGTAGGGTATTGTGCTGCCTGTCTGCTCCTCTCATTTGTGAAAAGGCTGGGTCAAGGTACAGTTTAGAGGAGTGTTGGCTTGAGCAACTATTAGTAGTATCCTATAAGGGCAGTTCTTCTGTGTCAGGATCATTAAAGTCACGGTTTATTCAGGCCTGGTGTTCTCTTGCCCACCAAAGCATCTCCATACTGGGGTGAAACCAAAAATGCAGCATTGTGCCCAAGTCAGGGAGTATGTATGAGAAGGACTCTGTCTACAGGAACCCATTTCCAATTACTCTCTTTCCCAGGCTGTCCCTGCAGGGGGACAGGGAGTAGACTGTGCACAACCTACTGTACACGTAGATTCATCAAGAACATGAGAAAAGCCCTAGTGGGCCTGAAGAACAGTCAATCCATTTACCCAGGATTCTGCCTGCAGTAGTGGCAGGTGCAAGTGCTATTTAGGGGAGAGCACGTGAGCATGGCTACTATCAGTGGTGCATTCCCCTTATGCTCCCACAGCATCAACTTCTATTGGACTAGGATCATTAGAAGGTCTGTCCCTTCCTTTTCCCTTTAATATCAGTTTGTGGACTTGCTGTCTGTTTATCTTTCTGATTCTTTTTGAGCCTGATGGTGCTCTCTTGCTTCTACAACCTCCTGTGGCAGCAAGTTCTAATAGTTCACTACCCTCTGTGTAAATAAGTACTTTAAAAAATCCATTTTAAATTTATATTCTACAAGTTTCAGCAAGTGTCTCCAGTTCTAGTATTGCTGGATTTGGCAGAGAGCAGTTCTACATTAGCCTTCTCCATCTTCTATAAATTTCAATCATGTTTTTTCTCGGGATACCTCTCTAAATGTAAGAGCCCTGGCCTTCTGAGGCTATCCTCGCAAAGCATCCCGCTCCATCCTCTTAATTGTTCTATTTATTTTCCTCTGTACCTTCGCCCCCCCCTGTTTCCTTGAGATGCAGAGACAGGACTGCATGCAGTGCTCAGAACTAGCGTTTGTGGAAAGCAATGGACTTGCTGCACGCACAAAGTATGTGCAGAAGTCCTGGGCAGCCCAGATAGCTGCATGTGTGTGGCTGCTTCTTACGTCTGCCTTTCCTGGATGCAGAGGTAGCTGCAGCTGCTGTCTGGCTGAGGTCCACCTCGCTGTCTGGCAAGAGGAGGAGGCTGTATTGCACAGCCTCGCTCAGTCACTTGAAGGAGCCGTATGGTCTCTCTAGCAAGAGCATTTGACATGGTTAATCTGCAGAATGAAACTACTACAGTCCCAGAAATTGAAAATATATTTTATTCCTGTTGCAGATATTAATAGACTTGATGTTTTTGAAGTCTGTGTGAGGGCAGAGCGCTTTATTGGGAATTGAAGGAAAGCAAGCTATTGGGGGTCAATACTGGCCTCTGCTGGGGGGAACTACAGCTTTGTGCCATGACTCCGAATGGGAATTAACAGCTGGCTTCTCCTTTCACTCTGATGTAGGGTGGTTTGCCTTTGCGACAGGAAAATCTGATGCTATGCTGGCTGCACTGGGGAAACTCTCCTTTAACGCTCAGCGAAAGCTGGAACTTCTTCACTTGCTACAAATGTGTTGAATTGTGATTTAATTTCTTTTTTGTCCTGAGGTCCCCTACTTTAGAAGCTTATTCCTCATTCTCTCCCTCATTTGCCTTTTAATATTTACTGCACACTCAGTTCTCTGACTTGCCTGTCCTATTTGTAGAATTAACAACACATATCTCCTTTCCCTTCTCTTTTCATAGCAAATTGCTGACAAGTCATCCTGCTAGCATTTTGAAAGCAGAAATCAAATGTGTGTGTATGTATAAGCTACATGTATAGATACAAAGTAGTTTAAAATAATAACTTCTTAGAAGAAATCAGAGTCTCCAGTAGTGTTGTAGAACATGAATTCAATCAAAACTGTGCTAGTTGCAGAAATGCTTTTGCTTGTTGTATGAGCTAGCTCTGGATTTAGGAAGCATGGAGGGTGGTTGAGAGGAAGTATGGTTCACAAATATTTTGGTTTTGTCCCTTCTCCAGTCCCTGCCTCTGTGAGAATGGCACAGGGCAGAGAGGAATTCTCTGTAAGGAATTAATTCTGTACCTGTGAGAAAGAGAAGGGCGGGAGGTCTGGACTCCTGTGCGTGCCTGGCTTGCTCAGGAGTCCTTGCCTGTTTGGGACTCTTATCTTGGCTAATTTCCATCCATGTAGCAAAACGGAGTCCAGAGTTCTGGTCCTTAAGCCAGAGAGAGAGTGAGAGCCCGGGCACTGAATATGTACAGGCTTTTATGTGTTAGCACAGAGAGCATAGGCTTCTTGAAGTGAGGGTAAGCCATGCTGATATCTCCATAGCAAGTTTGTGCCTATAGTGTTCTAAGATTTCTTGGTCAGGGAAATTTTAAGTCTTTGTGGGTTTTTTTCGGTAGCTCTTGAGGAGCCACAGGGCAATCACCAACAGTTCACAGTAACTTGCTTAATTTTTTTTTGTGTCTCTCTCCTTGTAGTTAAGTGGGCTTATAGGGATAATAGAGAAATGACAGTGGTGGTACAGAGTTCCCTGCTGTGCCTAGCAGTGATGAACATGGAGGTTACACTTTGCTATGTATTTTGTATGGGATTTATGCAAATATAACAGCACGATACCAGACACGCACTGTGTTTTTATGTACAAAAGCTTTTACGGCAGAGTGGGCCTGTGGTAGAGTTAATTGTTCTCACTGTCCTTCAGTTAAGTGTTCGTTTCTGCCTGCTTGATGATCTACAGTCATCCCAAAATACCTGTTGTTGTCACTTCTATACACACTCCTGGTTGTGCACTCTCCGTCATCATGTCAGACTCTTGCATGGTCTCCTTTCTACTCGCCATTGCCTTTTGGGACAAGTTTATCTCCCATGGCTGAAAGTAATTGGGGTACTTGTACTGTATGCAGGATTGATGTATGATATTTTTCCTTGTGTCTGGCAGGTTGTTTATAAGAATAACGACATACGTCTGGAGCTGTCTCGCTTGGCACGTATTGGTGATACTAAGATGAAGATCTATGGGGAAGTGAAATTTGTATGTGAGAATGTGGCTACACTGGATCCCATCAGCTTTGAGACACCTGAGGCCTATATTAGTCTGCCTAAATGGAATACCAAAAGGATGGGCTCCATCTCATTTGATTTCCGAACCACTGAACCCAACGGACTGATCCTTTTCACCCATGGCAAGCCTCAGGAGAGGAAAGATGCCAGGAGCCAGAAAAATACAAAGGTAGACTTCTTTGCAGTTGAGCTTCTAGATGGGAACCTCTACTTGCTGCTGGACATGGGCTCTGGGACCATTAAAGTCAAGGCCACACAGAAGAAAGCCAATGATGGAGAGTGGTATCATGTAGATATTCAACGAGACGGAAGATCAGGTAGAGTGATGACTTTTTCTTAAGTAGATTCATCTTTCAGATCCAAACCTAGGGCTGTGTATTAATTCTCAGAACCTTCAGAAGCTGTTAGATATGAGTCACCTTCTTACAAAACCTTAGTGTTATTCCAGTGATGTTTATCCAGCAAAGCAAAGATGTGAATGGCTAGGTTTTCATTAAATGTTTAGTGTGAACTTCAGATAGTACATTACTGAGGCAGTCTATTAATGTTTTATTCACAATCTTCAGATATCTTGGACCTATCTTTGCAATTACATACATAATTATAGTGATGACTTCTTTGTTAGGCCATGGTAAGGTTTGAGATCCTTCAGAACCATTGCTATTTAGTTCTTGGTTTGAGAAATTCTCACTGATCTACTTTGGGTTTCTGTTCAAAAAGAAACTTAGTAGAAACCAAAGGAAAACTTACTGCTGTGACCTAATATTACCATCTCCTGGATCTTTAAAGAGCAGGGGTTTGGGATCTTGTAATGAGGAAAATAAGTGATGGGCACAACCAGTGACAAAATTATGACGACAAATCAACATTTTCATTCTATTCTGTTTCCTCTAGTATCTTGTAGTTTTCAGTTAGGTTTCTTTACTCTCTTTTGGATGTTCAGTTCCAGTCTTAATATCTGAGTCAGCATTCAGTGGATGCTCCGTTTTTCCTCACAGCTTCTCACTTTCAAAAATGTGTTTTAGTTTATTTCTAATTATATATCTACCATGCAATTACTGCGAGGTATTTTGTTTGTTTCTAGTGCTAGATATCAAGCTAACATACTCACGATGAACTCTGAAATTGTGTAAGGAAACAATATGATCAAATCCTGTAACTTCATCTTGATAACATGTGAACGATTGTACCTGAATTCTTCCTGAACTGCTGGGATCTTGAAAGCCTGGCTGTGTATCCCTTCAAAGGGAATTTTGCTTACATTTGCAAGTGGATTTGGGATTTGTCTGGTGATCTCCAGATGATAGTTTTATGTCCCTAATTTTGTGTTTCCAGTTGCTGAATACCATCAGCAGAGAGAATGCAGTGCTAGGATTTGCTTCCCTTGAGTTTTCAAAAGAGCTGACTTTCAGATCCCATGCAAAGCCTACCCGTTTGAACAGGTCTTTGCCTGCAGCTAGTTTTTTCTTTGATGATGTGAGGAGTTTCTTTGTATTTGGCATGGTGCTCTACTAAGACTTAATATGTGTGGTTATATATTGCTATCTCCTAAAGACATCGATAGGAACATTTTATAAAGGAAGCCATAAATAAATAAATGGAGCTTTGATTTCTTTAGAATTGCTAAAATTTAATTAACTTCCAAGGATAAACTCAATTAGTTGCATTCAGTACTGCCTTCGGTTTTGCTTGCTCACTTGGGGACTGTCAAGTCCCTGGAGAGGCAGCTGAAGAAGGAGAAAACCAGAAATGACACTAAGCTCTCTGCTAAGAAAGTTTGTAAAAACCTAGGAAGAGGGACACACGTTCATTTGGACTAGGAGGGTGTGACAGATTGCATTGCTGCTTGGTGGATGAGACCATAGGACTGACTTGTTTGTCGCTTGGCAGGGAGGTTTGTGACGTTCTGGACACTGATTACAGGTAACAGATTTTGAATTAAAAGCACTTTGTTCAACAAGAATGAACACACTTGTACATTCTTGTATTTTCTTCTGATGATGAGTACTAGGTTAATGGTCCTAGTGACTGATACCTTCTCCCCAGAAAATGAGGATACTGGTGTTGATTTCTTCACGCCATACCTTTAGCAAGCATCAACCACTCTCATCCAGTGGTGCTTTTGCTTTTTCGTAGGTGTGAGAAGGAAGTTCAGGATCTCTTCTTGTTTAGTCCTTGGCTCTCCTCCCACATGCAGACCACAGAACAGTTACACCTTGGAAATTTGGGGTTTTTTTTAAATGTGGATGTCTGTTATCTAGAAACTGAAATGAAATAATGAACTTACTTAATGTAGGCTACAAAATAGCTATTTGGGTTTAATGAGCTAATGACCTAGAGGTTCTGATTCTCATTACTCAAGCCGCCAGGCCTTTATTAGGTGTCATCTCTCCCCTTCTTCTTCCTATTTCTATAGCAGTCCAAATCTTCAGGCTCTGCTGAGCGCAGTAAAATAGCCTAAAAATCCAAATATTCACTACTGCAGTGTACTAAGGCAGGAGTGCAAATGCTGGGGAAGCATGGAAGTCATTCTCAAATAACCTCAGGCACCTCTGGTCCCCTTAGGCTTTGTGTATGCTTTGGTCTCTTTTGGCTGCCAGAGCAACAAAAGCTGTTTTTCTCTCTACTGTGACAGAAGCTGACAGCATGGATATGGACACCTAGTGTCCTGTAACCTTTCTGCCCTTGGGGAAAGCACCTACAAAGTGTCCACAAAACCTGTTGCAGTTTCTAGCTGGGGGACACTGAGGACATTGCACAAGACAACGTATTTGGCTGGTCATCAGCTACAAAACACACATGTTGTCTAACCCACTCAGACACTAAAAATCGTACTGGAAGGTTTGGTCTACATCAGTACAGTGCTTTGTATACCCCCTCTGCCCTCAGTAACTGGGGTCTTTTGGTCTGTTCTTTAGCCTTGTGTGAAGTCCCTAAGGGACTGAATAGGAGATGCTTCTGATTTCTAAGGGTGGGATTTGATCTACCTAAACACAGTTGCAGATACAGGATTTGGGGAAGGAAAAAAACCCCTCAGCTCATGTGACTGCTCTTTCCTAGGGTCAATTCAGAATTTCTCCATCTCAGCATCTTTGTCTTAAAAGTGCTGTGCATCTGAGTGGGTACCATTTCCTTACAGGAATAGTTGTAAGGTACAAACACTAGTAGAAAGTTTAGGCTGCTGTCTAGCCTATTTCCTTTCATCGTCTCACGCTCACCCTCCAGGTTTTATGCTTTTCCTTGGTATCCAGTGTTTCTTCTTTTTTGGGGGGTTTCTTTACCTTTGTGGCTTTTGTAGGTGGTGTTTGTTTTCTCCATAGTAGCAGCTGTTTGGACCTCAGCCCTCCAGTATTTTGGTTTGTTCTAGACTTTTGAGTAATATGTACTCCACGTTCTGCTTTTGAGGAGGAACAGTGGAGATGCTGGAAGGGGGGCTGTGATCCTGTGGCTCTGTGACACCTTACCCTTACGACTGTAGGTATAGTGTCACATCTTCTCTTTTCTTACTTAGTAAAAGGGAAAATGTCTGCGGTGCTGCAGTTTGTTTTTACAAAATGATTCATCAAATAACCCTGGTTCTCTTTGAGCCTTTAATTTGTAACGCCTTTGTTGCCTCTGGCACTCTGCTGCCTCTGACATTATTCCTAAATTATTACTGAACATCACACACATGAAATACCTTGTGTCTGTGTCATACGTGCTGTTCTCTAAGAAGACATCTATTACAACTGAAGAAAAAGCATGTGTACACGACCGCACTTCTCAGAGAGACACAAAATAGAGCTAACTCTATTAACTAAACTCTCCCACCTTATCGTAGGGGTGTATGATAAAAATGCAGTGATGTGGAATTAATCTTAAAGCTTGGATAGTTGTCTCTGAGGACAGACTATCTTAATGACAAGGCAATTGGATGCAATGATTTATAGCTAGGGAGAGTGAATTGCTGATTTTTAGCTGAGTGTATGGTGGGCAGATGCCCCTATCACGAAAGCTACTGAATGTTCTTCTGAAGAGTACTCTGCTCTGGGATGTGACACACCTGCATTATGTTCCCTGTTTTTCTTTGGATGCGCTGTCTGACCTTCTCTACCTCAATCTTTCTGTTTGTAAAATGGAAGTTAGAATACTTAACTTTCTTTATAAAACTATAGAATAACTTATTTTGGAACAAACTTCTGGAGATTTCTAGTCCAAACTCTGTTGAAACCTGGGCTTTCTTCAGGGTCGTGTCCAGTTGTGTTTCGAATGTCTTCAGGATGGTGATTTTACAACCTCTTTGAGGTTTCGGTTCCCATGTTTGACCACCCTCATGGTGGAGTTGGAGTTTCTGTTGCTGCAGCCTGTGATCAGTGCAAGTGCACATTGCTGACTCATGTTCAAAGAGTGGTCCACCGTATCCCCAGGTCCTTTTCTGCAGAGCTGCTCCTTAGCCAGCTGTACTCCAGCCTGTACTTATGTGTGGGGTTATCCTGCCCCAGGTGTAGGACTTTGTATTTATTGTTGTTGGTTTACATCAAACATTTCTATCAGTCCTTTGCTCTACCTTGTAAAGGTTTCTCTGAATCATATTCCTGTGCTTCCACCAGCGCATCAGCCATTCTCCTCAATTTGATTGCATCTACAAACTTGATGAGGGCCTATGTAGTTCCATCATCCAGGTCCAGCTTTGGAGATACTGGTGAAGTGTTTTCTGGAAGAGCTGTGTGAATTAATATGCTTTTACTTATCTTTTTTTCTCTCTAGTCCTGATACCATTAAACTCCTATATCGTCTCAGTAAGTTTTTGCTTTGCTGGATGAATACCATTGAATAATGCTCAGTTTTTACATGCTATTATTTAGCCATCACATTGTTATGCTTGTGACCCTGTAATGCAAGTTGGGATACAGACACGTGATGATCAGTCACTGCATGGAAGTACTTACGGCCTGTGGTCAAGAGGAGAGGGAGCTGTGTAGGAGCCACTGCCTCTTTTAAGAGTGTATTTGGTAGGGAGGAATCTTCACTCTCCTGCACTGAACTTTAAACCTCACTCTGTTATTGAAAAAAATATGAACTAAACTGAGGCTGTAAGTGGAAGTGTTGATGTCTCCTTATCCTCCTCCTTTAGGTACTATATCAGTGAACAGCAGACGCACCCCATTCACCGCTAGTGGGGAGAGTGAGATCCTAGATCTGGAAGGCGACATGTACCTCGGTGGGCTGCCGGAGAACCGGGCGGGACTCATCCTTCCCACAGAGCTCTGGACAGCAATGCTGAACTATGGCTATGTTGGCTGTATCCGAGACTTATTCATCGATGGGCGAAGCAAGAACATCCGGCAGCTGGCAGAGGCACAGAATGCCGCAGGAGTCAAGTCCTCCTGCTCCCGCCTCAGCACCAAGCAGTGCGACAGCTACCCATGTAAGAATAACGCAGTCTGCAAGGATGGCTGGAACCGCTTCATTTGTGACTGCACTGGCACAGGCTACTGGGGTAGAACATGTGAGCGAGGTAAGCTGAGTTTTCTGACGTCGGTTACACAGAGGTGAAGGTGTGAAGGAGAGCTAAAACAAAATCCCATGTGTCCATGAGACATTCCCCTGCTCTTTTTGGTCTTCCCAATGCTAAGTTCCAGTCCCCACACTAGGCAAGCTTTCTTCTCTGATCATTTCCTTCCAGTCTTTTCCACCGTCATTTCATGAGCTTACCTTCTTTGTCTGCCACTTCATTCCCTAACCATTCTGAAGACCTTGTCTTCAGGTTCCAGACTTTCTTTGACTGAGTATGGTTTGTCTCCTAAGGCAGAAAATGCTGCTGCATGTGAGAAGACTCAGGCAAATTACTGGAAATAGTACCAAGTGAGAACTTGAGTTATGGGGATTTTCTTGCGTGGGACAGGTGATGTATCTCAGTTCTGTCTAGTCTTCCTCTTTTTTTGCATGGTAGGATTTCCTTGATGGCTGTTTATGGGTCAAGCCAGCTAATGAGATACTGTTAACTGCAACATGTCTCCAAGTTCATCTCTTATAAGGCAAATCTGTAGGAGATGGTGGGAGATTCTCTGCATCTTGTTCTTACTCGTTCTGACTGGTGATTTAAAGATATATGATTGGAGATATGAGGCATAAGGAATGCTGGTACAGACAGACAAAATGTATGTGTTCAAGGCCCCATGGAAAGGAATTTACTACTGTAAGATGTCTGAGCTATATATTTCTCAAATACCAGGCAGTTCCATTAATCATTGCTATCCTTATTGTGCTGCTGCCACACTCAGAATGAGGAAGGTTAGTGGTTTTAAAAAAAGAGGTGGGGTTAAGATCACTGAGAAAAGGAAATACTTCCTGAAGGGTGTTTTCTTGTATTGAAACTAATCTTTCTGTTAAAATTTGGCCATCAGCACTGCATTCTGGCTGAATTGCACTCACAGTACACCAAAGAATTAACTGTAAGCCATTAGCAGAGTCTTAGGGCTTTCAGCCCCTTCTTTCTGTCACCTTACCTTGGTACCGTGGTCTAATGGTTATAGCATGTGTCATAGAATTGGAAATTTGGATATTTTTGAGCTTCTGCCGTAAATATTTGAGAAGCTTCTTTCCCACTCAGTGTACCGCCCCTATGCATTTTTAAATACTGATCATAGTACCATGATGCTTATGAGAAAGAACATGAAAGTTAGGTACAGTGCATAAAATATCAGGCAGAATTGACTAACTTACTCCCTCTCCAGAGGATTTTCTTCTTTGCAGGAAGTTTTTGTTAATGACCAAAATTCTTCCTAAAGACCGGATGAGGTTTTTAGCTTTTATAGCACAAGATCTATGATCATTCATAAAGCTTCTCACAGCCAGCAATTTGTAGCATGCTGCCCTAAGCAGCAATAGTAGTTAATTGCCAGTGGTCCTTAAAACAGCTGAAGCATCAACACTGCCATCCGTGCTGTGAGGATATGGGAGAAAATAAAAGATTCATGGGGATTGGCTATGCCAATGTCAGCTCAGCAGTTGGTTCTCTCTTATAGACTACATTGGATTAGAGGATTCTGGAAAACATCAAAGGTTTTCTCAACCACAGCCTTGGGAATTGTTTTGGCCAATTGTTGTGTGATTAGGTTTTGGACAGACACAATAAAAAGAAGTGCTACCATAAATGCATTGTTCCCCCCCAGAATTGCAGTTATGCTTGCCCTAGGTCTTTATTTAGTATTGGGAGTGACTAGCTCTGTGATTCAGGACTTTCTGGACTCTGTTTTATGTCCGTCTCCTGGACCTGGCTCTCAGAAGAGAATCCAAAGCTAACCAATGACGTAAAGGACAGGATTCATCTCCTGTACCTTTATGTATCTATGGTGTTGGTTTTTACTCCTTTTATTATCAGTCAAAAGAAATCAGAAGGTTAAGGGCATGTAAGCATTTTAATTTTGGCCTGAGATCCATAACGCAGCCAAACTCTGGCCAGCATCAGTATGAATAAGAAAAGTACATGTATGAATGCATGTTTACCAGCGTGGGAACTTGAGGTCCTAATAAATGCATGTTAGAATCAGAGCGTATTTAAGGTTAACAGAACAATGACGTTGTAGTTCAGGACAACAGAAAAGACACATGCAGAGGTCCTAATCCCGAGAAACTGATTTTGTTTGTAACTAGAATCCACAGACCCCATGCTGGTTTAGGCCCAGTGTCAGGCAAAACATGGCTTTCATGCCTGAGGTTCTTTGGCAACACGAGAAGCAACTCACGGGAAATATTTATCTGTAGACTGGATACACGAAAAAAAATGTGCAGATTGAAGTGTATTTGACCCCACAGCATTTATTGTGGCATTGCATGGCAGCCTCATACTGCTCTGATATAACTACTTGATGGCAGGCAACTGCATTAGTGCACAGTGCTTTTGCCTTCACGAACAAAAGTGTTGCAGGCTACCAATGGTATTTTTCATTCTCGTGGTCTGGCACCCAAGGATTATTGCAAGTCCTGACTTGCTGGCCTGTGATCCAAATACTGTTGGAAGGAGAAAAGTTGAGGTGCAGACTTGGAAGGGAATCAAAGTGAGAGATGCCACAGTGGCATAGCGACTAAAGAGCTGCTGCAGGAACAGGGGAAGCCAGGCTGGGGTGTAAGGGGAGAAATGAAGAAGGAGCAGGCTATAGCTCTTTTAATAAGAAACAGCTACTGACCCACTTTTCCAGTCTGACATCTGTTTCCAGTCTGACATCACTCACTTTGTTCAGTCCTTAGACTTCTGTCCTGTTAGAAGAGAGGAGTGCAACTCTTGGAAGGGGTTTGCAGTGCAAGATGTAGAGTAAAGGGTTAAGGGGCAGGGGAGCCTAGAATAAAGAATCTTCTGTGCCTGTTGGCTGCCAGGAATATCCCTCTTTCTCACAACGCAAAACACATACTTAACATTTAGTTAAGGTACTAAAAATACAAAAGACATACGTACAACTCCAGGGATAGAAGCAGATGATTCATTTGTTGTTGATGGTAAAGTCTATCTCCCACTTCCCAGGTATAGCATTTCTACATTTGTAGTGCTGCATTTCTCATACGTTTTATACTTTGCCATATGAAGGACTGTTAGACATCTAAAAGGGACTCGAAAAGGAAACTGTGTCATAGTTAGAAAAGACGTTTGGGTTCTTTTTATTCATGGTGAAACAATGCAAATATGGGGTATTCAGTATGTCACCTATATCTAAAGCCCATGGGAGTTTGTTCTGTCAGTGAAGTAACGCCTCTGTATATTCAGCAAGTGACACAGGATGCAACATAGGCTTCCGATGCAGTGATCAGCTCAGGCAGTATTTTGATGTGGATGGAGAAACCCTGCTGTGGCCACAGTTTGATAGGGCACAGAATGGAGAACTGCTGCCAAGACCTCAAATTCATTCTTACAATTCCAGTATCTAATCGGTCATTCAGTATTGGCAGTGATGTAAGCAGACAAAGGTGTTTTCAGTCTTCAAGTGTCATAGCTTTTAAGGGTAATTTAGTCCCTCCTTTAGTCCCTCCTGAAATTGCATAGAAGAGATGGGGTGAGCCATGGCAAAGACCAGTTTGTGTCTGATATGCCTCCCACCCGAGGCGGGGCATGTCAGGGAGTCAGAAGCGCTGGCAGGACAGCTCTGGTTCTCTCTGTAACCATATGTTTTTTTCTGTACTAACTAGGAAAGAATATACTTGGGAGACAAAGAGTGAAGGCTTCTGTTAGGTATACTTACATTCAAGTCTTTGCCATAGAAACTAGAGTGAATGGACATCAGCGTTTGATTCTCAGAAACACTGAGACAAAGTACCTCACCTAAACAAGACTCTCCTCAGTCTTCATAAATTTCAGTTGATCTGCTTGTGAGGTTGTGTTTCTCTCCAGGTTGGTAGCCAGTGGCAGGTGACACAGGAAGGAGAGGAGATGAAAGTGCAATGGGATTCATGGGCCAGAAGGGCTCAATGCCAGGTTGTGAGGCTAAGCAAAAGCAGCAGCAAATGCTGGCAGTTAGCTAGATGTGGTCCTCATTACCATACCTTCCACCAGAGGCTGTGCTGGCCAGGTAACACACCTTATTTATTATTTTAAATCCTTGAGCTTCCCATTCTCTGTTATCTCTCCATAATGGTTCTCCACTACCTAGCCTAACTTAGTGTGACAACGTTGGAAAACATATGTGAGAAGAACCTTTCTGAGGCACTGTTAAAATTAAGGATCTGCTGTAAACATAGCAGCATCTGGATGAGTTTCTGAAACCTCAGAGATTCCATGGTCACAGTTGGAAGAGAGCGGTGGTGTGGCTGTCCACCAGGCTAGGAAATAAGACTCTGCTGACTTTGCAAGTGGCATGAACTCAATTATAGGAATATTGTGGCCTCCTTCTTTAGATGGCTCGGATAAGTGCTCTAAGATTAAAAAAGTAGAAGCCTGGTAATGAGGACTTGTGCTAAATGTCTACATCCCTTGTGCAGCCAGTGGAGGGAGGTAGTTGCTTCTTAGGAGAAAGTCAAAGCAATGACATGATCTGCTTGCCTCCTTTTGTTGATTTTCCTGTCTCTTTTTATTGATTATGTGGAGATTCTGGTCTGGTAGTTCAGTATTGCTGCACTCCAGAACGTAACTGTCTGTGCTGCAGAGGGATTGACAGTGCCAAACTGCCAAGGCTACCAGACTGATAAAAAAGAGACTGTCTTGTCTGAGGTGGGGGCATAAAGCAAAGAAACTAGAAAAGAAGCTAACAGGCAGGACATCATCCCTCCTGCAAGTGATGCTCCGAGTGCCTTGTACTGTGGTAACAATCTCTCCTCCCCCTGCTGCCACGCTCTCCTGTGCTCCTGTTATATCTGATTAGAGTATGTATGGTGGAGAGCAGCATTTAATGAAAAGAAAGACTCCTAAACTGAAAGGCAGTTTTTGTGTGTGTCTGAAACGAGTGGCAGGCACAGCAAAGTGGGTTCGTCATGGAAGCAGTGATTACAAGTACATACCGAGGTTTTGTACTGAGTTTGCTAGGTCTTGGA